GTCATAGATTTGATAAAAATATTAATTGTGTAGCACTTCTTAAAATGGTGAAAGTGTAAGGTAGACATAAGAGCTTTATTGTTATCATGGTTTGTATTTTTGGACCCTCATCTCCTTGGCAAGGATCCCTGGTGGCACAGTGATTAAGTGCTTGGTTACTAATGGAAAGGCTGGCTGTCAGAACCCACCCAGCGGCTCCATGGGAGAAAAGACCTGTTGATCTGCTTCTTTGAAGATTAACCCCCTAAAAACAAAACCCGTTGCCATTGAGTTGATTCTGACTCATAGCAACCCTATAGGGCAGAGTAGAACTGCCCCATAGGATTTCCAAGGAGTGGCTAGTGAATTCAAACTGCTGACCTTTAGGTTAGCCGCCAAGCTTTTAACCACTGAGCCAGCAGGGCTCAAAGATTATAGCCTAGAAAACACTATGGGGTAGTTCTACTCTATCACAAGAGGTCGCTATTAGTTGAAATCAACTCAACGGCACCTGACAACAACAATCCCTTTGGCATAGTTCAGTCCCTTGAAGTGATGGCAAAGTCAGAGGATCACTCCAAGCCTCAGGCTGCCTACACTGCTTGACCCTTATACGGAGGCCAGGAGTGTGAGCATCCCATTTTATGCAGGCCTGGGGTCCAGAGGGTATGGGGTTTCCTTCCCATCACCAATGCTGGAATAGACTAAGACAATCTAGGTATAATTCTTCCTGATTTTTATCTAACACTGACCCTAACAACAGGACCTATGTGCTCACTCTGGAATATGCAGACTTAAGGCCACCATTTTATACATTAATCATTTTCTCTCTGATTAAGACGTGATTATTTGTTTGTGATTCAATTCCATCCAACTTCCTCCCAGAGTTTCCCTTGTGCTTCCTAGGACTACATATTCTGCCCCTATTTGTTGTTTATATTGTTACTTATTAAGGCTTTTTTTTCCTTTAGCAATTGGGGTGCATTTGCTAGGGCAGCCTTTAGAGACAAATGCATGGTGCAGCTTTAACCAAAGACCTTTAACTTCTGGTTGGATTCCTATCATGCTCTTGTCTGCCCTACGTTTGTGGTTAAGGGAATGCAAATCATTTCACAGTTCTGTCTTAGTCTTCCGCTCTCTCCAAGGTCTGGCTGACCTTCATAGTTTCTCCTAAATTTACTGTTTTAATGCCTTCTATTTCTATTAGTGGAGTCCCTGGATGGTGCAAACGGTTAATGCACTCGGCTGCTAACGGAGGGGCTGGCGGTTCGAAGAAAGGCCTGGTGGTCTCCTTCCAAAAGATTAGCCATTGAAAACCTTATGGAGCACAGT